TATATATATATATATATATATATATGCTTCACTTGCAGAAAAGCAAAGTGATTCAGTTTTATAGTGCTTAAAAATGCCTATTTTTCCATCAGTTCTATTTCACCATTTTGTTGTCCATAAATGCTTATTTCTGGATTATGTTTGTATTTCAACATAATATATTAAATACTTTTAAATCCTACTTAAGATCAATAAGCAATTACTTGAGATCTAACAACATACTTAACAGTGAAATTGTTCACACACATATCTGGTATTTCCTATTCTGCGTAACAGTATTGCATTTCTACAACACAACAATTAGCTTGTTTTACTTTGCTGATATCAAAAGCCACTAATTATAAAGTATTTCTGAAGAGTTAAATTGCATGTTGTTGATCACTGAATGAACAGACAACTGAAGTTACATTTTCAGCTGTACCTTTGAAAATCATGCAATAATGATCATGTGTATCGGGGAAAAGTGCAATTTTCAGTCTCTTCTATTTGCTTTCCTTGTAACACTAACTGATTAATCATCAGCATTAGTTCTATTAATTTTCACTGATTTGTATAATTATTTTAAAGTAGTGTCTGTCCATCAAGAATTTATATTAGTGTATATTTAAGAAATAAATTGTTATTCTCAGGTAGGCTACATGCATGTCCATTTTAAACATCTAAAATGGAAGTTTTTAGTGCCTGAACATCCAATGTCTCGTAATTAGGTTCCTTGCTAGCGTAAATTAAGACCTGGTTGTGCAAGACTACAGGAAGGAACAGCCACATTCTCTGTAGGTTGTGTCAGATGGGACTGGACAATGGATTTGGTAACATCCACAAGTTGGGTTGAAGGAATGAAGTCTTCTGTCATAACACTGTCTGCAGTCTCATTGTCGTCATCATTTATGCTATCTGTATGTGTGTTTTGTACACGTTCAGTGGGCTGTGATTTAACTGATAGTGCCTGTTCCTGAAAACCAAATGTTTCCATAAGTCAAATTAATCAGAATAAAACCAAATTTATAAAGAGAGGTTTAAAAAAGAAATCTACACTATTGGTATATTTTCACTTTATGCTATGCTGCTGAGGCCTGGTCATGCTGTAGCTCTCAAGATTAGATGGTGTCATGCTAGGAGTTGTTCAGTTGTAGTAGATTTGTTCCAAGTGAGTATGGCATAAAGTTGGTTGCTCCACTAGAAATCTGCACCAAGGAAGAGCAACACTAATGCCCATTTTTATGGCAGTTTCCAATAGTTACCCTACAGTTTCCAAGAATCACTGTTTGAGCATGCTGTATTCTATGTTTTGTTTGTTTATAGATGTGGATGGGCATCATTACCTGTTTACCTGTTTTATACATTTTGATTCACTCATACAAACTTCACTGTAACAAACTGGTCTGTCCATACTCTGAATGGATCTGTGCTCACTTTCGTTCCTTCTGACAATAAAATATGCATTATTGCATGTTGCTTTTCTTGGAGCAAACCTCTATTGGAGCAGTTATTTTTATGCCATGCTCACTCGACACAGACAGACTACAACTGAACCGTGCTCAAACATGCCACTGTCTGATCTTGAGCTACAGCATAAATTTTACAGCATTGTGAATATTTTTTTTAATCTCCCTGTCATCAATCTACAAAAATGTTAATAAGAAATTAAAATCTGACATACAACTGAGGAAAAGATAGTCAAAATAATATAATAGTTCAAACTGAATTACAGGAATAAGCTGAAGTCAAATAGTACTTTTTTATTTTATTATATATTATGTTTTGATTAATTAATTGTATATATTTGCAATCAGTGATAAATACATATGCCCCTAACAGAGATACAAATTTAGACCTAAGAATGATGGAATAAGTGAGAAATTTAGGATACTACATAAGAGGGACATTGTGATTTATACAGGTCCCCTAGTATTGTTAGGACAGGGGAATCTAGGAAACTACAATGGGGAGAATTTCTTAACTAGATGAGTGTCTATTGGCTTCTCAAGAAGGATCCTCCTCTGGAGTTAGTTGGACAGTGTCCTGGCCAAGACTGAAATTAGGTACCTACCAAAAATCAGAGATAACATGTTTCATGAAACAGCTAACCCTCCAGATGACAGTACAGTTCTGGTTGCGATATTCTACTAAGGTGCATAAAAACAGGAAAGTGAAGAACTAAAAATTTTCACACGACTCTATGAAAAGTCTAGAAACCTAAATAGTTGGATGTCAAATTAATCTTAAAATGAGAGGGAGTAGAAAATTGATGTGTCAAATTCTACAACTGGAATTCTTAGTGAAATAAATACATAAATAAAAAAGAACATTATATAATATGAGCTCTTAATAAATAAACACACATACCTGTAGTTGTATTGTATTTCTGATAACTGACTTCTTCTCAGGGTCCTTAACAGGGATTTTATGACTACTATGGCTGCTAGACCTATCCTCTTTCAAGTTCTCAAGTTTTGTTGTCTCCATTTTGGCATTAAACTTAAGAGTGTGGAATGGTGTGAACACTTCGCCAAGCTTGCAACTTAATGATTCGCTTGGGAATATAAATGCAGAATTCTCAACTGCATGAAAGCCTGGTGGTTCATAATCTTGAGGTGTCACTGAAAGCATATATAAGTAAATGAATGTATAAATAACCTTGGTCTACTGAAAACTCCAAGCTTCTTGGAGGAAGACTGTTTATACAAGAAAATGTCAGTGTGTGGCTAAAGATTCTATACACACCACTTCCTTTTTATAAAACCTAAATTATCTAATTGTTATAAAGAAGAAAATAATCAAACACTTCATGAAGGAGCTGTGAATCCAAAACTTTCTGAAGCACCCAATGAGGTTAAAAATTTCATAGATCAGAAATTGCTAAATCTGTATATTTTAGGATTACTCTCCTATCTTGGTGAAGCCTGATCATGGAACACAATGTAGGAAGAAAGTGCAAAGAGAACATTTCCACCTGATTTTTCTGAAGTTACAATCTGAAATTATGTGTGTAGGAATTCATTCCCTGTATCCCAGTTTTGAAACATTTCCAGTGTTTCTGCATTAATCAAAGCAATGTTTCATAGTGGTTTGTAACTGTAAAGTTAATTGATTTAAAAATTATTGTAAACATAACTGAATCTTACAAATATTTACCATAGTATCCCCTCATATTCTAAGTATGTGCTTATTTAAGAAAGTAACTAACAATGCACAAACATAAAAATCACTGTCTCTCTTATGTGGGCTTAAATTAATAAGCTAGTGTCATTAAAGCTGAAGAAACGCAACTCTAAATTTACTAAAGGACATTGTGGATGGTCAGAGTTGTAACTAATAGCAGATAAATTAGTCACATCTGCTTTGGCTAAAATAAAACTTGGTAGACAAAATTCCATTGCGGTTGTATGGACCATCATTTTTCCATCACTGATATAAACACAGTTCCATTGTATATGAAAAATATTTTATTTATGTTATGGTTATTTTTTACTGAAATGGAAATAACAAGAAATCAAATACAGACTCAGTTTTTGATATCACAATAATAAGTAATTAATTATTACAGCTTGGCATGTGAAATTTTGTATGGTAAGAGGTTATTAAACATAGCTGTTAACATGTTTAAAAGGTTTCTTTGTTTTGAAATAAATTGGCATGGTGACAGCATAAATATGCAGGTTATGTGTGATAATTTTCAGATATTCAAAGTCTGATACTTACAATCCCATCCTGTTAGCAGAAAGTATACGTAATATCAGTTTAGAGACTGCTAAACAGAAACAATATCTCCGTGACATATTCAAACTTGTATTACGTGCACAAAATTCACAATGTGAAGGATAACAACAAATATTGTATAGCATGAAGGTGTTACTATACTATAATAAAAACTAGTTACAAAAAGGACAAAGCTGGTAGGATCGATGAGATCTCAGCTAGTAAATTCAAGTTCCTGCTGCTTTATAAACATTTCCCCAAAGACTGATGCCATTACCATGTTGGTATTTTTAACAAACAAAGCATATTTCACAGATTTATAATGTCCGACTATGACTAACTTAACTTGTATAATTATTATTTTCCAGTAGTATCACCATGAAGCTATAAAATATATTCTTCATATGATAACCATGTTCTTTTATCACACTTTCAATGGAAACTACTGTGCAAGTCATCTGCATTTAAAATTCAAATACCAACCAAAATTCCAAGGTAAATGGCAACATTGTTTCTGTTACTTGGAAAGTTACACTGCCACTATATAGATACTGTATATGTAGTGATAGGGGTTCAAAAATGTTGTCAGAATTACCTCCAGTTACATGTCCTTACCACTGATGTGAGTTCTGCTAAATCTGGCTAAGCCAGCCTAAAAATAAACCAAAAAATATAAGCTGTTTATTATTAAATTAGCTCACCATCTTCATAATAGAGCAATTTCATGGAGATGCCACATTTGTCAGGCAGGATTGGCAGAGACTGTGTAAGCTGAACTGTGGTGCGTAACATCTCCAGGGTGCTCCTACGGATCTCAGTGAGGGAACAGCCCATCTCTGAAACAACTTCCCTAACCATCCAATCTAAATAAAATTCTTATTAACAGTTATTAACACAAACATTTCAAAATAACTGAGGAAGGCTGACAGGAAATAATGTTAAAATGGTCTGAGGCAGGTTAATGAAACGAGCCTTTGCTCTGAGATATAACCAGGAAAATGGTATTATGTAAGTCATGTGAACATTGCCATATTAGCCCAATTATAGGGTGATTTGAAATATAAAATTAGCATTTTCACAAACCATGGGAAAGAAAAAAATGAATGTCATATCATTTTAATAAAATAATACACATTTTACAGCCTAATCATTAACAATAAAAATGCCTTATCAACCTGGTATGGTATATTTTTTCTGGGACATATCTGCATAAAATGCTTCATATTATTTTTAAAAATCTGGTTCCTTTTGGCCAAATTTTGTAAGAAATTAAAGGTCAGATAATAAAGGGACTAAAATTCGTTTTAAAATCTTGGCAAAACAACTTAGGTCATGAACCGGTTTCTGTCAATTCTTTTAATTCCTTTACTGCTTTGTTTTCATACACTACCGTTGTATCATCAGCTGTGACCGACTTTCACCCATCTAGCTATCCATATAATGAATGAAATAATAGTGAGATTTAGTATTTACCAATAAATTACACAGGTGATTCTTGTACCTGGTTTCTATAATCCATAATGACACCTGTACTCTCATGATACAGAAATCCTGGTGAGGACTGCAAATAATGAATTGTTAGCAGTCCTAACTTTACTTAGATATTAACATTGAATATATGAAATGTCATACAAGGCAGATTAAATTTTTTCACTTACATTAGTTCTGTAATAATTTCAAAATGAAAGAATTTTCAGGGACAGAGGGAATTAAGAAACATAAATCCAATGAACATTAAAATGTCATGCCCTTGTAATTTGGTAGGTAAAAATTAAAATGACTTACCCATTCAAAGCTAAAGCAGACAAATCATCTTTAACTTTTGTTACTTTTATATTAACTGGTCTCTTTAATGCAATCATTATCATACAATGAGCATTTATTTAAAATGTATGGTACATGCTCTGCAAGATACAGCAAAATCCTGAATGTAACTTACTCTTTTGTCTTGTTATCCTTTCTTAATATACTGCACCCACTCAAATCGTCGCCTTTGTATGTGAAGTGGAAAGTGTAAGTCTCTAGCGTGTTATCAGGACTTGATCCCTGTGCATGGACTGCCAGGATCAATTGGTGTAACTGTCAATGAAAATAGGTAAAACTATGTTGTAGTTGAAACAGTGATGAATAAATGAAACGTTTGATGACATATTGTAATTTGACATTCAGTAAAGCTTAACCTTGAAGAACATTTGGAAAAGTATAAAAATAAAAGAAAGAGTCAATTTTTTTTATACAGTATGAATAAACACTTATTTCTACATGTGATGCCACATAAGGTCCACCTTGGTTATCTGTAATTTTAACTTTTATCTTCTGGTAAAAAAAAGATTTATCTATGTAGTATAAGGCTGCTGGCCAGATTTAAATTCTGAAGATGTTTAACGGTAGCAGTAGCATTTTATGACACACAACCAGCTGGACCATTCATAAGCTATATTGGATGGTCAGTAAATATTAAAATTGTCTGATTGAGACAGACATTACTTCAAACATAATTTTCTGAATTATATGCTGAGTGACAGATGACTGCACTGAGATCATCTCCACTTTCAAGTTTAAATTATATATTTTTTAAATGTTATATTATCAGACAATGAGCTCCAGAAATTCAGTTGCCCCTTCCATCGTGGTCAAATTAACAGAGACCTGTGGTGATTACATTTTTAGTGTTGGTTTAAACATATTAAACTTTTAATAAATTGTGCCATGTTTATTGCTGAAATCAATGCAATATTAAAAGTTATGTATCTTTTACCAGAATAAAAGTATTTGTATGGAGCACATTGTGAAACTATGAGCAAGAGACTTTGGTTACGGGGTAGTAGTGAATCTATTGTATTTCTGTAGTCCTTCAGTTCAGCATTGGATCAAATCATTTCTTGAATTTTGGACCAAGTTTGACATAGAACCTGAAATACTTAAAACTGCAAGTTTGTTCAGACATTGACCTCAATCTTCTGAGCATGCCACAAAATTTCTGTGCTCATTGACCATTTTCTAACATGCAGTCCATCACTATATTTTTTTCGTCATCTTCAGAATGATTGTTAAGTTCTACACCATACATTATTCAAGTGCCACTGTATCTTCAGAAATCATACAGTAATCCACAGGTAAGACAGAATAGACATTCAACATTTCTCTCAGCAAGTTGTTTTTTCTGTTGTAAGCCATCATTCTTCCAAAATACTCTATACAGAAGTGAAGAAATATGCATTATTGTAAAACATGTATATAAGTTCATTATCTGTGTTATCAGCAGTGGGTGAGCTAATGTTTTCACTGTTCAGACACCTTACATACTGCAGGAGCAGTGATAGATGAACATGGAGTATTGGTTCATGTTCTGTGTCAGATTTGGTCTGACATTCAATAAATGATGTTATAGTCCAACACTGAATTGGACTACAAAAATACAATAGAATTAGTACTGCCCCTTAACAAAATTCTTTCGCTCACAGTTTTCATTAAAAATGTATCTAGAATTTAAATTTGTGAATGCTGTCTTACAAGCAACATAATTAGTTGAAGAAGGCTGCATGTTCTGGAAGGACAGGACCTTTGTCTGGTATCAGCCTGACTGGGTAATAACATCACTGGGATTCCCCATGTGGTAATGTGGGTTTGAGTCTGGCTATGAATTCCAAATGGCCATTTCCATGTGTGAAACTTGTAGAATTTCATATGAAATATCCATTATTGTTGTCTAATTTTAAGATTCTGAAAGAATTTAGAGCTAGCTGTTGTCAATTTTAAACTATAAAAGAGCCAACATGACTTACATATTTCTTACTGAAAGCATCAAATGCACTTTTAAGCCAGGCAATAACTTGAGCAGCAGCAGGGCATGTTCCATCATCTCGTAATATTTTCAAGCGAATGCCTTCAAGCTGACGATCAACATAAGCTTCCTCGGGGAACACAGCACGGAGGTATGTTACATTAGAAATTCCAAGAGCTACTAATTTCTTCACAAATGATTCTGACTGCAGTATTGAAACTGTTGGGTTTGGCATGATGGAGCTCCACTGAAAATAGATCAAGATTCACACACACATATTTATGACAATGTCCCAAAAATTCCATGATATTTGATCATTCTTGTAAATATATCTTGAAGCATTCCAATATTTTGGGAAACTATTTTGTATTACCAAGAAGCTAGCAATATTTATTCTCATATTAATTTTATATTGACATTAAATGAGTGTTTACAGAACTATGAGAATGAAACATCAGTCGATACTCTAACAGTGTTGTACAAACAGCAGATTTTGTAGATATATTATTTACTACTGATGACACTGGTCAGTAATCTGAAAGGGTGAGAAAGAAAGCAGCCGGGTTATGACTTACTTCAAAACATGATTCCAACATTCAGTTGGAATTACCGACAGAACAACAAAACAAAATAACTTAGCTAATCCCATCCATGATTTAAACAGTAAACACAAATGTTTATTTCTTGAAAAGAAATGTGAAATTGGTGCTTACATCATAAAATGCCAATATTCTTACAAATAAACTGCTATCACAAAATAAATACCATACTTGTTGAGCTACATAGTTAATTTTGATAGGGAAATCTATTTGAAAGCTGTCACTTGAATATCTGAGAAAAAATCTGGTTGAAAATATTAAATTGGATTTTAGAGAAGTAGATGAAGGCGATAGGAATCAATGGAGTAAACTGGATGCAGCTAGCTCAGGATAGAGTCCAGTGGCACAGAGATGAACCTTTGGGTTCCATACAGAAAGTGGGCTATTCTTTGACAAGCCGAGTATAAAATCAACTTTTCAAATAATATTCTGCACCATAGAGTGAGTGAGATGTGTCTTGGGATAATGTCCAATAGTTAACATTGTTATTAGCAGTATTCA